ATTTATATGTTTTAATAGTGACTCAATTAATTGTGTCAAATAATTGCATCAATTGCATCAAGGATCTATAAATTTCAGCAACATATATAGTTAAGATCCTTAGTTAAGAAAGTCTTTAGACAATCAGTGTCAAAATCGAAAGTTACACAACTTGCCGAATTTAGATCCAAAGAACCCCAAATTAAATATACTATAACTTTGTTACACCGTCTATAATTTACCTTATATGTACAACTAATATTAGCTAAAAAAATTTTTTTTTTACTTTAGATGACAATGAAGATCGTCAATCAATCTGCACAAGCCATATCCATACAATATTTGTGGGAGAAAGGTATAAGAGATGCTGCTGAAATTTAGCATAGAATGGGTCTCCTTAGGTCTACCATTTATTATAATATTAGTAAGTTAAGAAAGACTGAAACTACGATTCATAAGAAACGTTCTGATCATTTTAAAAAAATTACTCTGGAAGCCTCAAATGCAATAGGGCAGATAGTTAAACAAAATCCGACAATATTAACAAGAACCTTGACGAATAAAATAATTGGAAAAAGAGTATATATCTTACATGTAATTATTTCATAGCATTTAGCTAACCATAGATTTAAAAAAAAGCTTCCTTTAGCAATACTAATGCTTATCAGAGCACACAAAGCAAAGTAGATAGAATGGGTCTGAAACCATATTAATGACAACTAGAAAAATATGCTTTTTACTGATGAAACATCCTTTTGGTTATTTCATAATACTGTGAAATGTTGGTACAAGGGTGCCAGGCCAGTTAAACGAATTCCCAAAGACTGAACAAGAATTAACACTTGGGCGAGATTTGCATTAAGGGTAAAACCAGTCTTCATTGTTTTCATAATAACATAATTGGTGCCAGCTATATAAATATTATTAGAGAATCTCTTCCAGAGATTAATGAGTTGTTTGGCAGGCGTTGACAGTTTTTACAGAACAATGATCCGAAGCACATGAGTAAAATCACCAAAGAATTCCTTTAAGTGAATGTTCCTATTATAATGAACTGACCTTCGAATAGTTCTGATATAAAACTGATAGAAAATCTATAGTCTATCATCAAGAGAGGTGTAGAAATACAGCAACCATGAAATATTAAAGAATTGAATCAGTTTATGGTCGAGAAATGGGAAAAGGTTTCAAAAAGTATTATAGTAAATTTAATCATGTCTATAAACGAGTGTTGTCAGCTTGTAATTGATTATAACAGAAAAAGAATCTCTTATTAAATTTTTTTAATTAAAAGTACTTGTTTTAAGCTTTCAAACAAGCTATAAATCACGTGATATAATGTGTTAGTTATAAAATTATGATCAAATATGTCCATCCAAAGACTTTCTTAATACACTGTAAATATATATATATGTTTTTTTTTTTTTTTTTTTTTTTTTTTTTAAGGGGCCAAGTTGCAATATACGCATGTACTTTATTATAAGATCACTTAAGATTACAATTGTCTATGCGTAAATAGTCTATTAATATATTGCTAATATTAACTCAAGCTATCTACTCCTTTTTACCAGAATACCAACTTTCACCAAGTAGGTGAGTTCATACCCTGGTTTATACTATAACTCCCTATTTGTAAATACAGTAGAACCTGTATATAATCATATAATTGGACCAATAAAAACATATGCCTATATACAGGTTATGACTATATACATTTCTAGCATAAATCACATGATTTTATTATTAATAGTGATATATGCAATATTATTGGTTCAAACATGAACCGGTAAAAAAACTTTGTCTCGCATATAAGAAAGAGTATTGACGAGGGACTATGTGTGAATACAATATTAAACATAGGTTTGAATTCCATAGAATATTCGGCAAGAAAAGCACTAATCAAGGCACTATGAAAGAATAACATCTTAACGGTATTAAACATAGGTTCGAATAAAATAGGTGAATTAACAGGAAAAGCATGGCCGAAGCATACTCTGACGGAATTAAATATAGGCTGTATAGGTAGGAGAATTGACGAAAAGCAAGAGTATGAATACCACCAAACTAATCAAATGAATACTACCTGACAGAGTTGGAATGGAATAGGAGAATCGGAACGGAAAGCACTGGTCGAAGCACTACATAAGAACCAATTTAAGCGTTAATTATAGAAGTGTCAGGTTGAGGCACTATGCAATATCACTCTTACGAAATTAAATATAGGTTGTAGTTAGATAGGAGAATTGGCAGGAAAAACACAAGCATGAATAAATAATCGTATTATTATCCGACAGAGTTGAAATGGAATAGGAGAATCAGAATGGAAAGCACTGGTCGAAGCACTACATAAGAACCAATTTAAGCGTTAGTTATAGAATTGTCAGGTTGAGGCACTATGCAATATCACCCTTACAGAATTAAATATAGGTTGTAGTTAGATAGGAGAATTGGTGGGGAAAACACAAGCATGAATAATAATCGTATTACTACCTGACAGAGTTTATATCGAATAGGAAAATCGGCAGGGAAAGTATTGATCGAGGCACTATGTAAGAACAATCAATCTAGACGTTGGTTATATAGAATTGACAGGAAAAACACTAGCTGAGGCACTATGTAAGAATACCACCAGACAGAGTTGGAATGGAATAGGAAAATCAGCAAGAAAAGCATTGATTGAGGTACTATGTAAGAACAACCAATCTAGGTGTTAGTTATATGGGATAGAGAATCGAGGAAAAGTATTGGTTGAAGGTTGTAATAGAGTAGAATTGGCGGGAAAAGCATACCATCCTAATTAATTTGTATTATGTAATAATATAGGCGAATTAAACTATACAAGAATACCACCTGATAGAGTTGGAATAGATTTGAAGAATCGGTAGGGAAAGCACTGGTCGAGGCACTACGTAAGAACAGCCAATCTAGACATTAGCACTGGTTAAGGCACTATACAAGAATATCACCTAATGGAATTTAAATATAGGTCGTAATAAAAAGGTAAATCAGCAGGAAAACACTAGCATGAATATTAATCTAACAATTTAAATCAACAGGAAAAGCATTTGTTAAAGAATGGAATAGGAGAATCGGCAGGGAAAGCATTGGTCAAGGCATTACATAAGAACATCACACAGACCAACCTAGGTGTTATTTATAATGTGCGCATTGACTTTTATATAGATCCATCATAATTGTTGAGATTCATAGAAATTAGCATTAAAATTAGTGCATTAGCATAGTCATATGTTTATATACTCATTACTTGTCAGAATAAATTAAATATTTTATCATGTAATTATTTTGAAAGGAAATTTCATTATATTAATTATAAAATCGGTCAGTATTATATTTTTTTATCGCATATTCCAACCCGTATAACAAATAAACTTTATTAATAAATGTGATACAAGATAAAAAAAGTTAAAACAAACTTCGAAAAATTAAAAAATTTAAACTCAAAATTAAATTCTATAAGTTGTTGATTTTTTGTTATTACTAGTATTATTTTAAAAATAGTCACTAAGTGATTTTTGTATTAAACCGGCTTGTTTTAATAAAAGTAATTCTTTTTTTTGAAAATCAATACTCTTAAGAACCTTATGATTATCGCCATCCTGCTGAAGCCAAAAAAGTTCCAATAATTCCAATGTTTCTTGAGCTTTCATTATTGAAATTTTTGGTCTTTCAAATGAATCATCTTCATTATTATTTTCTTCTATAATATCTTCTTTTCTTATTTGTTCTTTTGCCAATTCTAAAATTGAATCATCTGTAGGAATTTCTGTAATTTTTTCTTCTCCCGGATAATTAATTAATTGTTGTACATCCATTGGATTGTGGTAAGTTAGCTTTTGAATTTGATCTTGAAGATTATTAATTACTTCAGAAATATTGGTTATATTATTATCTTGTAATTCATTATTAATAGGGGTACGAATTTTGCAATGTAAAAAACAATGATAAATGGTTTTTTCTGTAACATCAATTTTCCAAGCCGAAATAAGATATCGAATTGCTTGAAGAATGTCGATTTTTTCAGGGTTCTCTATATTAGCTTCAGTATCTTTAAGGAGTTGATAATACATTCTTCGTCTATAATAAACTTTTAAATTTCGAATAATACCTGCATCACAGGGTTGAATTTTTGATGTAGTATTTGGTGGAAAAAAACAAAGAGTAGTATTTTTTAATTCACTTTGATTTTTAATATGACATGGACAATTATCAAGAATAAGAAGAACCT